AAATATGAAAGAGAGGGAAAAAGAAGTAGGTGGCAATGTATAAGGAAATGAAATAACAAGAGGAAGAAGAGAATATGGGAGAAAATGAAGTAGAGGAGGAGAAAAGGAGAAAGAATAATGAGCAAAATAAGAAACAGGGGAAGAAGAATATGAAGAAGAAAAAAGGGGAGGAGGAGAGGATGCTGAAAAAAGGATGAGGTGGAAGAGAGAAAGAAAAATAAGAATAAGAAAAAAAAACCGATGCGGAAGAATATGAAAAAGAAAGTAAAGGGAGATAAGAAGAAACAGGAGAGAAAGGAAAGAGAGGAGAAGAAGGAGGAGGAATGTGGGATGAAAAGAATTGGAAGAAAAATAAGGATATAAAGAGAAAAGTAGAGGAAAGCGAAATGTAGTTATTAGAATAGAAAAGTGCCGAATTATAGGTATATAAAATAGTCTACCCGTAAATTTGAAAAATCAAAGAAAACGAAAGTATTTCAAAGGGTTCATAGAAAAAGGAAAAGCTTAAAAGGGTGACTTCTTTCTTGTATTTCATTAAAATCAAACAAGAATAACTAGAGACGTGTCAGTCTAGGATGAAAATATTAAAACGAAATGAAAAGCGAAAAAATCTAAATACAGAATGGGAACAGCTAGCATCGCAGTTATATTAAAAAACATAACTAACATCAGAAATATAACCGCCCAAAAGGAAACTCAAAACTTCAGTGCTCTTGTAATATATCCAGAAAATTAGAATTAGAAATTCAAAGGAGAATGTTTATTGGTTTACCTTATTACGACCTCTGGTAACCTTTGGAAACGCAGAGTATTGATATCTAGAGAAAATTATTTTTTTACTCATAAGATGCTGGCCTCGTCCTGTTACGTGACCTTATTAATGTTATTTCGGCTCATTGTTTTTGTTTTTGTTGTTTTTAAGTGATATTCTGTATATTTGTATGGTGGAAGACTTCCTTACGCAGCTGTCGAAAATACAGTCATAATTTTTGTTTCTTGAATAGTGTTTTAGGCATAGTTTACCCTTTAATTCCCATTTTCTAAGGCTTCCGGGAAAACGAAATATGTTCATGGCAAACTATTCTATTCATCTATCTAAACGTACGCACCTACCAGCCAACCTAAATGTATGAGCAAATAGGTCCCTATTTATTTCTGTCTATATAAACATATACAATCGACCTGGACATGACGTTAATCTTCATACTGAGGCGCCCTTGGGTAAGTCTAGCACCCCATTAGCTCCCCGTGCCAAGGAGACGGCGAAGCTAATGGTAGCAGGACTGGATTTCATGGAGGGACAGAAAAATGCAGTCTTTCGGATGGCTTCCTTGAACTATATATCTCCATACAGTGCAGCTGGAAACATACAGCAATACACTTTGCTCTCGGCAGGAATAAAGAAAGAATTTTGGGGCCAAACCTTCCATGACGATTGTGCATTGCCAGAGCCACGGCGGCTGAACCTTCCGTTAGATGATGATGGTATGATGATATGCACAAATACACGTGTATCTATATATCTATCTACATCTATCTATCTATCTATCTGCCATCTATCTGTCTGTCTATCTATCTACACACACACGTATATATATATATATATATATATATATATATATATATATATATATATATATATATATATATATATATATATATATATATATATATATATATATATATATATATATATATATATATATTATATATATATATATATATATATATATATATATATATATATATAAATTAATATATGTTTGTGTGAGTGTGTGTGCGTATATATATAGATACATACATGTATGCATACACACACACACACACACACACACACACACACACACACACACACACACACACACACACACACACACACACACACACACACACACACACACACACACACACACACACACACACACACACACACAACACACACACACACACACACACACACACACACACACACACACACACACACACACACACACACACACATATATATATATATATTTATATATATATATATATATATATATATATATATATATATATATATATATATATATATATATATATATATAGTGATGGCTGCCACATCTTGCACTTACCCAAAGAATTACTAAATTAAGCAAGACTTGTAGCACATGTATAAAGTTCTTGGGAAATTCCTTTTGATTCTTGTATTTTTTTGAAAGTAGCCTAGTTTAGAGGTCACTTGTTTAGATATCAGTTCCGTAGATCATATAAATCTACCAATATATAAGACAAAAGTAAAATAATGGTGTCGACCTTGAAATAAAATAGGGGCTTTCTCTGCATCTGCTTTCTGTTTCTTAATATCCTTTGTGATGACACAGTAGAAAATGAAAAGGTCGGGAGGATGTTGACAATTCTACAAGAGAGGATTGCAATGAAAATGTTTGAGAATCATTGTCTTTGAGCGAGGATATTCTTCATGTAGGATAGATAAATAGATAAATTGGTCGTAGAACAA